GGGGCCAAACCTTTTTTAATAATGTGTGGAGTTTGGCCACCAAGGCCTACTGGCCTGTGTAACCACCAACATCAAACCGCAGCTCATCTCTGACATTCTTTATCCTCTCTTTTCCTCTGAGGTACTTACCCTCGTCTCTCAGACTTTATGTTTTACTTATCCATTGATTTCTTGCCTTCCCTCTAGAATGTGAGCGCATAGAGAGCAGAAGTGTTCAACCGTTTTATTCCTAGAACCATACCTGGCACACAGTAGGATTCAATTACTATTTTCTGAATGATTTCATGAACTACAGACGTCGTGGAGGGTGTAGGAAGAGAGGAATCTTTGTTTCCTAGATTTAAAAATACCACTGCCAGTATTTGGCAAAACTGATTAAAGGCAGGTCTTTTGGCTCTTTCCTCTGTGCACATTCCAGAGTCTTCTATAGGTACACTGGTGGCAGGTTAGAAAATATTCTCTTCCCTGTTGCTCTGGTAGTCGAGGGAGCTTAGGTGTCCATCGCTGGGGATTGGGTCATTAAACATGGTGGATGTACACTATGGAATGATGCCTCTCAAACTTTATCATGCATGGAATCCTCTGGGGATCTTGTTATGATGCACACTGATTTAGTTGACCTGGACTGAGGTCCAAGACTCTGCATTCCTTATAAGCTCCAGAAATCCCATGATGCTGTTTCCTGGACCACACTGGGAGAAGTAAGGGTAAAACCTTGAGCCGTCTCATCCAATAGAACTTTCAGACATGATGGAGATAGTCTGCATCTGTACTGGCAGCCAATGACCACATATGGTTTCTGAGCACCTCAGCAAGTATGACTAAGAAATCACATTTTAAAATGGTTCTAATTTTAATTAAAAATTAAATAACCATATGATATATCTAATGGGCACCATATTGGTCAGCACATGTCTGGAAGACTCTGGACAGTAAGAAGCAATAAATGAGATGGACAAATGGCTCCTTTTGTTTAAAAGAGCATTTGGAGAAGTCTGAACACTATGTTTTTACTACTTCAGTGTGACTCCTCTCCTACACTTCCCTCCCTTCATGCCCTATTACACTGAATACAAGAGGACTGTTGATCTCATTTGATGTATTAGTTTATACACTACTAAGAAAAAGGAGCTGCTAGTTAAATTATGACATGATGTCATTACCTGGTGCTCAACCAGTTGTGAGGTGCCACCCAATTCCAAAGGTATTAAAATGTGGACAGAATGTACATCTTGGAATCAATAAAATATGGTATTCAACCACCACAGCTGGGTTGGTGAGTTGGAAATTGCATTAAACTACTTTCACTTCGTTTTATAGAAGGATGCAGGCAGATTATTACGGCATGGGCTGAATCATCTCGTCAGGGCTGAGGCTACCCAGCTATGAAGGTTCTTCTGACTCCTTTCTCCCACAGAGCTTGTATGGCTGCCACATGTGGAGTCACAGTATGTGTGTGTGTTGCCTTGACACAGAGGGCGCATCCTCCATAAACCTAGGCGCGGACACCGTAAGACAAGAATATTATAGGCCAATATCCCTGGTAAACATAGATGCAAACTCATCAGCAAAATACTGGGAAGCAGAATTAAAGAGATAATGAAAAGCTCATAACACCCTGACCAAGTGAGATTTATCCCTGGGAGCAAGAAGGGCTCAGTGTATTAAAAAATGTGATGTGCTCCATTAGCCGAATGACGGGCAAAATAATGCAATCGTCTCACTAGATGCAGAAAAACCACTTGACGTAACACAAAATCCTTTCAAAATAAAGACCCTTGATGAATGACGTATAGGAGTAATGCACTTCACATACAGAAGGCCGTGTGCGACCAGCCCCCAGCTAACGCACCCCGTGCTCTGAGATCAGAACAAGGACGCCCACTGCAGCTACCTCCTTGCTTTTCTTCCCTCCATCCCTCCTTTCCTTCCTTCCTTCCTTCCTCTCTTTTTTGTGGTGCTGGGAATCAAACCAGGGCTTCATGAACGCTAGCCCACAGTCTACCCCTGAGCTTCACCCTCCCTCCACTGTCGGTATTTCTATTCAACATCGTCGGGGCAGTCCTGGGCAGAGCAATCAGATATTCAAACCTGAAAGGAAGAAATGAAATTGTCTGTTTTCAGATGACATGATCTTTTATATAGAAAACCCTGAGGAGTCCACCAAAAAAAAAAAAAATCGTAAGAACTAGTAAATGAATGTAGTTCAGTGGCAGGATACCAAATCAACATACAAACATTCACTTGTGTTTCTTATATACTAACAACAAACTATCGGAGAAAGATTAAGAAGACAATCCCATTGATAATAGCATCAGAAACAATAAAATACCTAGAAATAAATTCAACCAAGTAGGTGAAGGATCTGTGCACTGAAAACTATAAAACATTGAAGAAATTGAAGATGACACAAGTCAATGTGAAGATATCCCATGTTCACGGACTGGAGGAAATAGCATTGTTAAAATGTCCTTACTGAACAGAGTGGTCTACAGGTTTAATGCAACCCCTCCCTATCAACCCAGTGGCATTTTTCACAGAAATAGAAAAAGCAATAATTCTAAAACTCATGGAAACACAAACATAATTGGATATCCAAAGCAATCTTGAGCAAGAAGCACAAAACTATAGGCATCACGGTGCCTGATCTCAAAATCTACCATACAGCCACGTAATCAAAACAGCATCATATCAGCATGAAGTCAGACGTGCAGAGCCAGGGAACAGAGTAGAGAGCCTGGAAGACTCTGGACAGTGAGAAGCAATAAATGAGAAGGACAAATGGCTCTTCTTGTTTAAAAGAGCCTTTGGTGAAGTCTGAACACTACTCTATTTACCACTTCAGTGTGACTCCTCACCTACACTTCCCTCCTTCAGGCATTCACTGCCAAGTTATCTCCAAAAAAGATGCCAAGGACACACAGTGCAGAAAGGACAGTCCCCAAAGAGCGCTGCTGGGAAAACCGAATGTCCACATGGAGAATGAAGTTGGATCCCTGCCTCACACCATACACAAAATACAACGGATTAAGGACTTTAACATAAGACCTGAAACTCTGAAACCACCAGAAGAAAACACAGGGGGAAACTTCTTGGCATTTGAATATGACCCCCAAATCACCAGCAATGGAAAAAAAGATGAGTGATCACATCAAACTAAAAAGCTTTTATGTAGCAAGGGGAACAATCAGGAGTGATTTCCCCCCACCTACGGAGTGGGAGAGAATATTTGCAGATTATACATCAGATGAAGAGTTAATATCCAAATATATAGTAAAGGAACCCAATAGCAAGATCACAAGAAATCCGATAAAAAATGGGACCTGAATAGACATTTCTCAAAAGGTGTGAATGGCCAAGAGATATATAAAAAAGTGCTCAGTGTCACCAACTAATCATCAGGCTGAGGCACATTGAGATATCACCTCAAGAGATGACCCACCCTGCACTCTTGTAAGAACTTATAGAAATAGTCTGAGGCTCTTCAAGAACGTAAACACAGAGCCACCCCGTGATTCCGCAGCCCCTCTCCTGGGTACACAGCCAAAGGAAGTAAAGTCTCCATATGTCAGAGATCTGCACTCCTGTGTTCACGGTGGCATCCTCCACAAGAGCCACGATACAGAAGCCACCTTGGTGTCTGCTGAGCACTAAGTGCACAAAGGGTAATGGGTGTGAATTGAAGAGGGTCGTTCTTGTGATGACACAGGTGGACTGGAGGACTTTACCCTAAGGGAAGTGAGCCAGATGCAGAAAGACAGTCACTGCACGACCTCACTTAAGTGTGGAGACTAACGAGTCAATCAGGCACTGAGAACAGCACCTACAGAGACTGGAGGGCCGGGGAGGAACACGGGCGGGGCTCTGGTCCATCCTGGCCATCTTTTGTGCAGCTGCAGTGAGCAGGTCCCAGGCCTGCCACCTCAGAGCTCCCCAGTCCCTGCCACCTCCCACAGAACATGAGGCTAGAGTGACATTGTAGTGTATCTGAACTCTGTAGGATCCGAACACAGAATTTAGAGAAGACAGACACTAAGACACATTCTGGGCAGACCCGTCCAGGTTCCAGGGGCCAGGGCTTAGCAATGGCTCCCCGAGGAACAATAAAAGCCTCTGTGTGTGTGTGTGTGTGTGTGTGTGCGCGCGCGCGCGCGCGCGCCTTGGCCAGCCTCTGTGGTGTGAATACACTGTGGTTGCCGTTGATCTACCAATGTGGCCTCACTGGACACAGAGTTGGGAAGAGAAATGTCGAAGCTCATCAGTACCAATGTAGAACCATGGACAGAAATGACCCCAGATCACAGATATTCGTTTTTTTTTTTTTTAATATTTATTTTTTAGTTCTCGGCGGACACAACATCTTTGTTGGTATGTGGTGCTGAGGATCGAAGCCGGGCCGCACGCATGCCAGGCGAGCGCGCTACCGCTTGAGCCACCCCAGCCCCACAAATGTTCATTTGAATAATTAGGGACAGATGCTGTGGTTGTTGACTTCATTTAACAAATCACCCAATTTTAAGTTTATGTAACTCAGTTTTTAAGAATGGCTGTATGTAGCAGCTGGCTCTGGAAATTCCTGAACAGCAGCTCTGGAGAGGAGGCTGAGGGGGGAGGCAGTGCTGGGGCATCGCCTAGATACCAGAGCAGACCCCCAGGTACCAGCACCCCCCTATGTGGCCCACTGTGTCCTTGTTTCTCACATGAACTAAATGAAGGATGAGTGAAATCTGGGATTATTCTGTTTTTATTGTTGTCGTTTTTTTGGGTTTTAGAGACACTGAGAGTTTTGACAGTTGTCTCTTTGAAATAGGACGCCAGCCCGATGCTTGTGTCCCTGCCCCCTGTGCCTGAGGGAGTCCTGGGGTGGGGGACGCCTGAAGCCCTGCTCTGGAAGCAGGAGGCTGGAGTTCGGCTAAGAGTCAGGGAGCTGGGGTCCTGGGCCTGAGGCAGCAGGGGCTGGGGAGGCTCGTGGGGCAGCTGAGGAACTGTCACGCGGACGATCAACCGCCCCGAATTGTTTCCCGGATCCAGTTTTGGTACTTGCAGAGGTTGGTGTAGACACCTGGGTACCCGGGCCGGCCGCAGTGCTCCATCCCCCAGGACACGAGGCCCTGGAGCTGCTCTCCACATACCAGGGGTCCCCCAGAGTCACCCTGAGGGGAGGGACAGAGATGTGGTGGGGAGAGAGGTGGCTGAGCTGCCCACGGTCCAGCCCTGCTCAGGGGACAGGCCAGGGGCACTTGCCTCCCTCCTCCCGGGGTCCTGCACGTCTCCACCCAGCCCTGGGCTGGCCTGGGGGCCTTGGTGGTCACAGGGCCCTCTCCATCTTTGCTCTGTCTCCACAAAACTGTGTCTCTCCTCAGCCCTGCCGTCTCCGCCCACTCAGATGGTTCAGGCCTCCTGAGGCCGGTGCTCCCCAAACCCTGTGTGTGGCACCGCTGTGCACCCCGGCCGCTTCCCACGACGCCCGTGTCCAGTTTCACCAAGCACCCTGAAGGGGGTCACCCCCATTTACTGATGAGGAGACTCAGGCATGGAGGGGTGCAGGGCTAGGAGGCAGGGGGCCCGGCTCTCGCAGCCCCTCCCCAGACAACCTGGCCGCCAAGATTCTTTGGTCCTAAAGAGGCAGCTCCAAGCAACCCCCTCCCCCCGCCCACACCCGGGGCCTCACCTGGCAGGAGTCCTTCCCGCCCTGGGGGACCCCGGCACACACCATGCCCGAGGTGATGGCTCCGGGATAGGCCTTCCGGCACTGCTGGTCTGAGGAGATGCCCACGTTCACGCACTGCAGCACCGTGGGGTACCTGACTGCGGGCATCGAGCAGGAAGACCCAGTAAGACCGGGCTCCGGGCCCAGCCTTCCTCCCTCAGGCCCGGGAGCCCAGGCCCTGGTCCTCCTCCCAGGGTGCAGGTGTCCTTACCCTCGGGGCTGGAGGTGGTGCCCCAGCCTGACACACGGCAGGAAGTCCCAGGGCTGGCGCAGGACTGGGCCACGGGGATGGGCCTCACTGCCCTCCCGAGCCGTGCGGGCTTCTCCAGCCTCAGCAGCATCAGGTCATTCTCGTGGGTCCGGGAGCGGTAGCCAGGGTGTGGCACCTGGCGCGTCACGCGCAGCACCTGCTGGGTAGCCTCCCCCCTCCTCAGGTTGTGCTTGCCCAGGGACACCTGAAGGATCCTGGCCCGTGACCCCCCAGAGTAAGGCAGCTTACGGTGGGCCTCGGCCTCCTCCTGCCTCCAGCCCACCCCACCCCAGGCGACGTTTTCCCTAAGTCTAACTTGCTCCCCTCTAACTGCAGGCTGAACATTTTCTTATCCTTTTTCTGGGTTTGGGCATTCCCCCGCCCTCTCTCTTTGGGTAGCAGGCATTGAACCCAGGTGCGTTCAACCACCGAGCCTCATCCTCAGCCTCCTTTATTTTCTATTTTGAGACAAAGTCTCCCTAAGTTGCTTAGGGCCTCACTAAGTTGCTGAGGCTGGCCTTGAACCTGTGATCCTCCTGCCTTAGCCTCCTGAGCTGCTGGGATTACAGGCATGCACTACCTTGCCCGGTCCCCGGCATCTCTTTTAGGCCATCCTTACTTGCCGTCCCTCTTCCCCTGAGCTGTGCTCTGGCTCTTGGCTTGGGTATAAGGTGGTGACTGGAGTTCCCGGCTCTGTCCCAGGGTCTGTGCAGGGTTCTACGCTCTGAGGCCTTGATGAGACCCCAGGTCATGGCTCTGGGCTCTAAGTCAGGATGGATATGCTGGAGCAGGTTCATCCTAATCCAGCCCGGACTCTGGGGTCCTGAGAGCTTGGGTTTTGACTCTGGCCTACGATCAGGATTCGGCATCAATTCTGAAGACAGCACACTTTCAGGTTCTGATGTGAGCTTTCGGGCTGAGGGTTCCATGTTTAGCAATGTGACCTGAGCTAACAGATTCTGAACTCTGGTTTGAGTGCTGGGTTCTGGGTTAAACTCTTGTTCACGACTGGGTTTTAAACGACGACTTGAGCTCCATGCTCTGCTGGGGCTCAGGGTTCTAAATATTGGTCTGAACTTTTTATTTTTTTGCAGTACTAGGGATGGAACCCAGGCTCTTGTGCATGCTAGTCAAGCTCTCTACCACTGAGCTGCATCCTCAGGCTGCTCTGAACCCTAGAACCTAGGCCAGGCTCTGAATGACAGATTATAGCCTGGGCCTTTGCTTATAGATTTGGCCTGAGCCATCCACCTCAAGAGGGGCTCTAAATGACCACCGGGATACCAGGTTCCAGAGGCTGGCTCTCACTCTGAGCGTCGTGTCCTAGACTTGGCGCTGGGCTCTATCTCTAGGTTCTAGATTGAACTTCAGTGTATGCCATTCATCTGCTTTGTAGGCTACTGAGCTTTAGCCTGCACTTGGACTTCAAGGTTGGGGTTTGGGTTCTTAGCTCTGGCCCGAGATCTGGGAGGGGCTCTGGGCTCTTATGGGTTGGGTCTGCATTCTGGTATTTAAACTCAGGTCTAAGAGAAGGGGGCTGGGGGCCTGGACCCCTGGGTTAAGGGAACAGGGCTGGATTCTGGGGGATAGACCTCCCCTTAACCTCTCAATCCCCCACCCTGCAGCCAGGTACTCTACTGCTCTGCCCGGGGAATCTGGTTCTAGATGCTCAAAGATGATTGTAGAGGCTTAGACTCTCATCTGAGCTCAATCCACACTGTGAGCTGTCTTTCTTTTCGGGTGTTCTCTAGACCCCAAGCTGGGACCCGGTTACTAACTGGGTTCTGAGCTCAGGTGCTCGACTCTGAATGCACTTGGCATGAAGGGGCCAGGGGCTCACTCACGGGCGGGCACAGTGCGCGGCAGTGATGACCCAGCGGTCAGACAACAGGATCCCTCCACAGAAAAAGCGGCGCCCGGCACCGGCCAGCAGCGCGGCCTGCCATGGCTGCGAGTTCTGGATGCACGTGTAGCCACCGATGATCTTGTTGTCATCCCCTTGGCTCCTTGCCAGGCCTAGGAGTGGGCAGGGGTGGGGTGGGGAGGGGAAGGCTGCTGGACAAAGGCTCCCCACTTCTCTCGACTCTGCACCTTGTCCAGCGACAAAGCCCCTGCCTTCGAGCTAATCCCTGAGTCACTCATTCTTTCTGCCCCACCCAGTGTGTCCAGCATTGTCCCCATTATTGCCCCAACACAACCAGGGCGTTTTCTGACCTCTCCCCCACATCTCCTCCACAGTGTCTATAGTTTCCATGGCTACCTCCTCCTGCACCCACAACCCTTGACTCCATCCCCCATCAGTGAGTCTCCCTTCACTCCCCGCCATCAGTCCTTCCTGAACACGTCCCGGGGCTCCCTGTCTCTCCCCAACCTTCCCGCCCAGTGTGGCCCCGCCTCCACCCCGACCCCACACACCCTGCCCTGCACCTACCAGCCCTACCCTCCTCCACCGTGCTGGGACAAGAAGCCATTTCTTCCCTGACTGGACCAAGGAGAGCCCCATGGCCCCCCATGCTGATAGGACCCACTCAGGACCCAGAGCTTCCCCCAATTCCTTATTCGTTTTCTCTCCTCCCATCCCTGCCTCTCTCCCCATTCCCACCCCTTCCCAGTATCTCTACAGCTGGGAACTTCGGCCTCCAGTGCGCATGCGCCTCAGCCATGGCCCCAGACCACCTCTTCCCGTCTCACCAGGCCCCGAGCCTCCTGCTTCTCCAGAGCCCTTCCCTAAGTGCTTCCCAGACTCCAGGGAACCACTCTTCCCTTACCTACAGCCAAGACCTGAAGTGCTGTCAGCAGAAGGAACATTCTGGGCCTGAGGGTCAGGTCCTGGCACGTGCAGAGGTAAACGGAGAGGAGGAGGAGCTGCAAGGGACTCAGGGCTGGGAGGACCACTCACACCAAGACCCCCAGAGGCCCCAGAGACGGGGAGAGGGGCAGAGGGGAGAGGCCAGAGCCCCAGAGGGCGGGTCCAGGGGCTCCTCAGGAGGGAGGAAGGATGCTGAGCAGGCTAGGTCCCTCCTGCACAGGGCAAGCAGAAGCAGGGGTGGTGTCTCTTCCCGGTCACGCCACAGAGCCTTTTATCCCCGTGGAGAGGCTGGCCCTGCTCCCCACTGCCCTCTGACAGGTTTTTTTTTTTTTTTTTTATTGCCTGGTTTTCATTCCAGGACTGCCTGCTTCCCTCCCTCCTCTCTCCGGCCAGAGAAGCAGCCAGAGTTGTTAGGGAGAACCGCCCTGCTGAGAAGGACCCCGGGGCAGGGTGGGCCAGGGTGGGCAGGGAGCTCCCAGCCCGGGCAGCCGAGGATTTGGTGGTGGGATGGTGAAATCCGGGTGGGGGGGGGCTGGAGGAAGCCGCTGGGAGGGGCTGAGACCTACAGGGACAGAGGCTGCCCCAGGAGCGTGAGGCTGCCTAGTGGATGGGAATAAGCCTTGAGAGGCAGGGACAGAGGACATCAAGAAATACAGGGACAGAGAGAGGATGCTGAAGGCAGGGGGGACCGAGGAGAGAGATGGAGGAGGAAGAGGAAGATCCCTGTGGCTGGGCAGGTGGGGGAGGCAGATGGAAAGAGAAGGGGTGGGGGGAGGCGGGGAAGGGGTGGGGGAAGGGGTTGAGGGAGGGGGGAAGGGGTGGGGGGCAGGGAAGGGGTGGGGGCAGGGAAGGGGTGGAGGAGGCGGGGAGGCCCTGGAGAGATGCCCTGGAGACGGTAGAGGAGAGCAGCAGTGCTGATGGAAGAGCCCCAGGCAGAGGAAGTGGTGATAACAGGAAGAAAAAGGCCGCACAGGTGAAGGGGACACAGATGGGGGACAGGGCTAGAGGACTAGGAGAAGGAGGGGTGGATGGAGAACAGGTTAGAGAGGGGCGGGATGAGATGTTGGGGACAGGAAGAACTGGGGATCCGTGGTATGGACTTTGCAAGGGTTGGGGAGACCCAAAGTGAGGTGGGCAGAGACACAGAGACGGTCATAGACCCGGATGGGGGAGGTGGAGGGAGGAGGCTGGCCCAACCTGGTGGGACCCCTGGAGCTTGGGGCTGCATCCTGCGGCCTGTCATCCTCAGCTCCTCCCCCAGCCTCTTAAATTCCCTAATGAATGTAATTTGTCTCTGGCCTCCAGCCCCAGGCCCAGGCAGGCAGTGACTCAGGAGGCTGCCTGCCTGCACTCTCCCTGGCTGACCCTGGGTGGGGCCGCGGCCTGTCTGCATCTCTGGGTCTGGTGTCTGTGTGTATCAGCGCGTTTGTGTTCCCCCTGAACGGTCCTGAAAGTCCTGGAGAGTGAGATGCATTGACAGAAGAAGGCCCTCACTGAAGAGAGATGATCCTGGGAGTCTACCTGGTTCTGGGTTTGATGCGGTGGTGGTTACACAAACTTACACAGGCAATAAAGTGACAAGACAACGCATGTGCAAGAGAGCACGCTCGTTCACGCACAGCCAAAGATGCATTTTAACAATGGACGTGGAATAAAGTCTGTAGTCCAGTTAGCGATATGGTACCCACGGTTGAATTCCTGGTACATCACAGTACACGATGATAGGATTCGCTGTCACATATTCGTACACCTACGCTGTAGATTTCCTGATTTTGGTATTGAGCGCCATTGGAAGAAGTCGGGAGGGCACTTGGAATTCTGTCCTGTAGGTGCCACTTCACATAGAGGACACAGGACCGTATTATCTCAAAACAGAGAGCTAAAGACAAAAAAGAATTCCTCTTTCTAATGAGAACACCCTGCTTAGCAGCAGGCCCTGGTGACCCCTGGGCTACCTCTGGGGATGCAGCCTCCAAGGAAGCTCAGCTAACTGTGGTGGGGCCCAAGGACCCGCCTGCGCCTGCTGGGCGTGTCACTGCCAGGTTCCCCAGCCTCTCCCTCCAGACTAAACTCCTGGGGATCCACCTGCCACTGTCCTCCGCTGCTCGGCAGAATCTTGTTTGCCATGACATGGGTGCTCCATAGATACCTGATGAGTGAAGGCCACAGTCCCTGCCCTCCAGGAGCTGGACACCCCATGGGATAGGAGACCGGGCAGCAGGAGACTCCTGGTGTCCTCTGTGCGGGAGGGGACTGATGGAGCTCCAGAGCCACGGAGAGGCTCCAGGGTCTGCAGACGGATGCGGGTCCTCCGGGGAGGGGTGTGGTGTGTGGCGGGAGTGGGAGGGGTCTTTGGCAGGAGGATGAGGACAGAAGCAGCAGGGGCGGGGGGCTGCCCGCTGAGGGCGCAGGGTGAGGGGTGTCGCGATTCTGAGTGGGGAGAGAAGAGTGGTCAGGATGGGCATGGGGTGTGGCGCCTACACAGACCGCGGGCAGGTGGAGCACAGCGCCTGCCTGCTGTCCCTGGCGGACCAGAGCGGCGGATCCCGACCCGAGGGAGACCCACAGCTTTGGGCGAGCCAGGCAGGAGGGACTGGAGAGCCGGGAAGACACCAGGAGAGTGGTGTCCCGAAGTTGCGTGAAGTCCTGTCGTTGATATTTAAACTTCTAAGAAATTCCTATTTTTTTTTATCATTGTAAGACGTACACTAAAATTACCAATTGACCATTTCTTCAGTGCAGTTCAGTAGGGTTATGTTCTGCCGCCGTCCTGGGCGTCCACGTCCTCAGAACGTTTCTACCAACCAGCCACACGCTGCACCCATTGAATAATCACATCCCTCCGACTCCAGCCCCTGTGCCTGCTTTCTGTTCCTGGGAACCTGACCCCCTGGGTGCCTCATATGAGAACGTTGGCCCCTGGAGTCTGGCCTGTCTCTTAGCCCGAGGTCCTGGGGTTCACCCCTGCTGCAGCAGCTTTCAAATGCCCTTCCTTTTCAAGGCTGAGTAATATTCTCTTGAATGTATGGTCTGCTCCGCTCACCTGGCTCTGTTCTGTCTGGTATTACCTGCCTCCCTCCCCCTTTTCCTATTTCTCTTCCTTCCTCTTTCTCTCTCTCCCACCTGCCTTTCTTTTCTCTCCCTCCCTCTTCTTAACCAATATTTATTGACCACCTGCTATGTACCTATCCCTCATGGTTCTAGGCACTGGGGAAAGAGTAGTGACAAAATACACCAAAACAAAACAAAACATCCCTGCCTTGTATTCTAGGAGAAAGAGAAGAGAAATGTAAGTATAATATTACAAGTTATTAGGGCTTATGAGAGGGAGAAGTGAATGGAAAGGCCTTGAGGTAGAGAGGGCCTGGTGGGTTTGGGGACCAGCGAGGAGACCAGTGTGGCTGCAAAGGAGCAGGAGAAGGAGGCAGTGACTCGTGGAAGTCCGGGCTCTGTACGGCAGGCTCTGTCTTGCCCCCCACTTTACAGACTGGGAGATTGAGGTGGAGAGAGAGGAAGTCCCTTGGCCAAGGTCACCCAGCTGGAAAGGACAGGAGGCAGCATACAGCTCTCACAACTGCCCCTGGACTTCTCTGTACTGTCCCCGGGGACCTGCCAGCTTCATCTGCATGCTTACGTGTGTGTCCAACAGGATTTTAATGCACCCACCCTATCCTTCCCCTTGGCAGGCAGCTACCCTCTGACCCTCGCCCTAGGGACCAGGAAGCCCAGCTGGTCGGTCCTTCCCTGGTTGCACAAGGCTAAGTGGAGACGCCACTCCACCATGCGAACCCAGGCGGAGGGCTCTTCACCTAGAACAAAAGGGGCAGATGGAGCAACCGGCTGGGGGTGCGGTCAGTCCTGGACCAGGAACTTCCATTGTTGGAGGAAGGAAGGAGGAAAAGGCGGGTGGGGTTGGTGGGTGTGGGTTAGTGGCAGGGAGTCGAGGCCAGGCCTTGGTGGGGGCTTCTGTTTTCTGCAGCTGGGCGGGTGGGCCCTGGAGGCCGATGGCAGAGGTGTCCAGGTGGAACTGGCGACCATCTGTTTGGGCATCCAGCAGGTGGATGCTTTTGTTGACTTTTTGGTCTTCTCTCCAGCAGCCTGGACGGGCAGGGAGAAGTCACCCGCAGGACAGGAGTGGAGGCTGCGGGGATGCTGAGACTGGGGAGTGGAGGGTGAGCAGGGAGGAGAGGTCCTCACGGCCAGGAAGTGAAGACAGGGGGTTTGTGGGGGGCTGCCTGGGGAGGGTCGGGCGCCCCTGGGGGGAGAACAGGTACAGCAGAGCCACCCACAGCACCGGGAGCTGGAGGCTGCGGCCGTGGGGCTTGGTGGTCTCTGGTGGAGCCCTTCTGGGGCTGGAGGTAGAGGGGGGCGTGACGGTGGGGAGTGGTCTCTGCTGTGGAGGTGACAGGGCTGGGGATCTGGGCCCCTCTTTCTCCTGGGCTGAGGACTCCCAGTGCCACCAAAGCCCACCCCGTCTCCACTTCCTCCCTTACCCCGTGGGCTCAGTGCTTGGGAGGGGATCCTGGGTAGGGCTCAGTCAGGAGCCAGGCCTTGGACAGGAGCATCCGTGCAAGTGGCACAGCCAGGACTTGCGTGGAGATCGCCTTCGGTGAAAGGTGCCTCCTGTGTACTGTTGAGGGCCAGGGCCCTGTTTGTGACATTCCGGATGCAGTGTGATTGGGTGTGCAGGGAGCAGACCCGACAGGCTCTTGGTTGGCAGTGCTTTAGCGCCCACCACACTCTGGGGCGCAGTCCTCCTGCCAGCCCTGGGGGGTGCCCACAAAGATACCGTTTTATAGATGAGGAGAAATGAGGTCAGGTGGCCAACTCTGCTCAGCTGGGATTTGAACCCAGGCCCGGCTGACTGATACCCCCTGCTGCTGATCTCACGGGGCTCCAATTACTCAGACTCTCTCTGGGCGACCTCTGACGTGTCTGAGTCTGCACCTGTATCTGTGACGTGCCAGGAAGCCTCTGCGTGCACACCTGGGTGCCCCCGATGTGTGGGGACAGCGTCCCTGACCCTCTCCCCTCCCTCTCAACTGGCTCCCATTTATTTCACACAAGCCATGGTCCCCCACCTGTCCCTGAGCCTCCCCTGTTCCTCTGCTCAGCTGCTCAGGCCAAAAGCTGGGAGTGGTCCTCTCACCTCCCACTTTGGCAGTTCCTGTCACCTTGGCTCCAAAATGGACGACGAAGAATCCACCCACATGCATCTTCTCGGTTGCCCTTGTACAAGCCACCCTTATCTCTCACCTGCACAGGTGCAAGAGCATCCAAACTGGTCTCGCTGCTTCCGCGCTGGACCCCCACCTCCAGCCTCCACCCAGCCAAAGCCATTCTCCACCTGGCAGCCCACAGCTAACACCGAGATCCCCCCACTCCCTAGAACCTGATGCCTCCAAGGCAGCCACATCTGCTTCCTGTCCTTCCAACCACACCCTCCTTCGTGCACTGCCCCTCGCACCCTGACCCCTTTGATTTTCTCAACATGGTGGGGACCTTCCTACCCAGGGCCCTTGTCTTTGGTCTTCCTTCTGCCTGGGACACATTTCCCACCCCTCTGCCTGTGATCATTCTTTAACTCTCAGCTTGAAGGTCACCTTCAGATCATCTCTGGAGTCGACATTCTCCTCTAACTAGGCCCTTGTTGGTTTTCTTCTTCTTCCTCTGCCTCTTCTTTTTTTTAATTTTAATTTTTGGTGCTGGGGATTGAACCCAGGGGTGCTCTACTATGGAGCTACATCCCCAGCTCTTTTTGAATTTGAGACAGGGTCTTGCTGAATTGCTGAGGCTGGCCTCCAACTTGCCATCCTTCTGCCTCAGCCTCCCGAGTCACTGGGATTACACTATACACCCTGTGCTGGCTCCTTGCTGATCTCATTTTGACCTATAATTGCTTTCTGTGTTTGCTTGTTTGTTTATCGTTGCTGTGCATTTCTCTGTGGCACTTGTCCCAGTGGGACGTCCCTCATGTTTTATGTATTGCCTCTCTCACCCTAACTCTGAGGACAAGCACATCTCCAGTAACAAGAGTGTCAACTCTGACGGGGCAGAGATCTTCACCAGCTCTACCCGTCGCCCTGGCACTTGGTGGGTTCTCAGGAGCATCCGTGGGAGTAAGAGACGTCTTTCTCACTGGGCCTCAGGAGGGCAGGGCCTTGCCTACCTGGTTCACTGCTCTCCCTGGTGTCCAGTCTGGCGCTCAGCACGGGGCAGGGGCCGTGTGAGATCAGGCAGCATCCCTGCACCCAGCACCTCCACCTCTTCAGGGCCGACAGTGGTCTCCCACACAGAGATGGAGGTTGGGCCAACTCTCCAAAGCCTGCAGGAGGAGAGAGCTTCTGACCCCAGGGAGGGGACGCTGGACTTCAGGCCTACTGCCACTCCAAAAAGAATGAAGAGTCCCTGGCGTGTGCGCAGGGGTCGTGGTCAGCTACCTCTCCCCATGATGAGCCTCCTCCTGCCTCAGCAGCCCCTGTCCTACCCTCCATGTTCCCCTCCTTCCTCCGCAGGCTCCAGCCACCTGCCTGGTGTGGAACACCTGCTTAGAGGAGACGTTTCTTGGGTTTACGGTCTTTGAGTTCACGCAGAGGTTATTAGGAAACACCCTGGGCTGGAGACCCACTCTTGGTGGGCTGGAGACCTCCAGCTCTTGGTGGGAACTTATGAACTACCCCAGACGCCCCCATATCTGCTCCCACCTTGCCACACCCTCGGGGCACCCCCGTTCAGCTCTGGGTGCTCTGCTGCCTGCGCCCCTCCTCCTCCCAGGCCTCTGCCCCTCCAGTCTTGCTCTGACAGCACGGGGCCCCAAAGGCTCCTCCTGGTGGACCTAGGAGCTGGCCCTGTCTGCTTGACCCCTTCCAGGAGCCCCACCAGCTCCGGTGCCATGTCCATCTGGGGCAGGGCTGACCTTCCTGCCTGGGTGCCCACCCCACCCCTGCCCAGCCCCTGAGTCCCCCTCCCCCTCCCCCAGGCTCACTCTTCTTACCCAGCCCGGCCCCTGAGTCCCCCTCCCCCCTCACTCTTCTTGCTCATCTTCTGGGTCCTGGTTTGAACACCACTTCCTTCAGGAAGCACCCGTGACGCACGGCTCTGAGCTGGGCGCCCCACCTCTGGGCTCTCCGTGTCCTTCCTAACCCTCCAGGTGGCACGTAGCCCTCTGGCTCCTGCCTTGCCAGTGTCCATGCCCGCCTCTCCACCAGACAGGGAGCCCATTGAGGGCAGGGACAGGGGCTGACTCAGCAGTTTCCCCACTCCTCTGCAGGGCCCGGCTCTGGGAGGTGTCAGGAAATGCTTGCTGTGTGAACAAAGGGATGATCCTTATCATCGCTGCTCTGCTGGGAAAGCCTGGGCCTGAGACTCCATGCAGCCTGCTGCTCTTGCCTCTTCCACTGACCCCTCCCGCCTTTCCTGGAACCTCAGAGCATTCGTGCTTGCTGTTCCCTCTGCCAGCAATGCTCTTCCTGCAGGTCTGCTGAGCTCCCCGCCTCATCTCTCACAGGTCTTTGCAGAATATCACCCTCCTCTTGAGGCCTCTCCTGTCCCCCCTGCTTCAATGTATAGGACGCTCCCCACCCCCACGGTGGGCTCCATCTGACATACTATATACGCGTTCTTCTTTGTCTCTCTAGAACAGGATTTTGTTTTGTTCACTGCCGTCAAATTGTATCCTCCACTCCTAAAAAAATCGCAGGCCCAGCGAACATTTGTTGAATACATGAATGAATGCAGGACTCTCCAGGGCAAAGAGGGCTTCCATTGTTTCTATGGGCCGCAGACTCTCCGCTGGGGGGCTCTGTCCTGGGGCCTGACTCAGAGGCCAGAGGGAGCAGGGCGGAGAGAGCCCAGCTGGGATCCAGGCAGGGCAAGGCCTGGCTTTGCAGTCAAGGTGTGGTCACAGTGCCTCCTGGCGGCCAGAGCTGAAAACAGCAACTTTCTTCAGAGAGCTTGGGCTAACAGAAGCAGCAAGTGCTCAGCTAAACTCCAGGTGCTCTCAATGCACCCACGTTCACAGGGCGAATCAATGGCACACCTTCAACAAGAACGCTGGTTCCTGGCTCCCAGCAGGTGGCAAAGCAGAAGGCTCAGGAGCCCTTGCTCCTTCCCTGATTTGCTGTTGTGTGGCCTTAGGTACGTTACTTCATTTCTCTGGGCCACAGATTACTCTTCATAAAACTAGGAATAAAAACCCACTCCTTGCATCACTGAGCTGGCCAGGAAGGAAGGCTCGGCTCGTGCCTGGCGTGCAAGCGGCGACCTGCAGAGCCGACCGCGATCACCTTGCGCCCCCTACAGCTGCATTCTCCTCACAGCATCTGGAGCAATTTTTAGAAGGGAAGCCCCCCAGAGACTGACTGTCACCCTCAGAATAAAACCCAAGTGCTTCTCTCCTCGAGACCATGCGTGACCCATCCGGCCACTGTCAACTCGTCCTTGCTCTTCTCGCTCACCCTCAGCTGGCTGCACTGGACTCACCACACTCATTCTCACCTCTGGGCTCTGGCATGGGGGTCCCCTCCTTCCGGGGAGCTTCTCCCCAAGAGGCCTCAGGTTCATTTTGCTTGATGGCGGTTTCGGCTGAAACCTGTGGAGACGGGCTCTTCCCGTCTCCCTCTCACCTTGGCCCTTTGGTCTTTTCTTGCTGTCCCTAGTACCTGGAAGTTTTGCTTTCTGTCCGTTTCTCCCAGATGTGGACGTCCTCAGGCAGGGGCTCTTGTGTCCTGCGCTGCGACCCCTGGTACCCAGAGCAGCGCCCGACGCGGGGTAGGTGCTCAGGGAATGTTTGTTAAATGAATAACTAACCCGATGTCAAATCACCCCGGTAACCTCAGAGGAGGCGGGGCATCCTGCCGGCCCCCAGCCAGTCTAATCAGGTGAAGGGAGCGCCAAGGACCAGAGGATGAAGTCGGATGTGTCCTCCACCCAGGACTGGGTGGGAGGAGGAGGCAGGGAAGGCTTCCAGGAGGACCCTGAAGGAGTAGAGCAGGATGGGGGAATTCCCGAGGAGCCCCTGGAGGTGGGAGAACGCCACTGCCTTCCCAAGGGGCTCCAGGGCCTCACACCTGCCAGCACCCTGGGACAGCACCCCGGAAACCCGGAGCCCTCTGGAGGCCAAACATTCTTATGAACATTCGCTGAGCTCTGAAGCCTCTCTGATCTTCCCTGTCCTCCCCACCCCGCTGCTTTGAAGGGGACGAGGTGGGTAGTTTCCATTTTCAGCAGAATTGGAAGATTCCTCGTTCAAGGTTGGGGCAGCCCACTGCCCCTTCTCACCAAGACAGGGCAGGGAGGGCGCTTCTTCAATCTCGGAGAACCCTGGTGGGGCCTGATGAGGACTCTTCTAGCTGGGTAACCTTGGGCCATCTGCAGCGCCTAGGCGTGGAGGCGGGGATGGAAGGAGGGACAGTACTGGAAGGGAGGGGCATCCTCATGGTGACTGGGCCCCGCTTCTGTCACTTCACTTGACTTTGCTCATCTCACTGCAAGGAGCTCTCAGAGGCCGAGGGCCATCAGAGCTCGCCAGAGCCCACAGAGGAGCTCAGCACACAGTCCCCGGACCCCCAGTGGCTCTGAACGCAGGCTGCTCCCCCACTCCCTTGGCCCCAGGCCTCTGGGGTGCAGCTTCTACTGGGTTCCTGGGTCCTTGTCCCCTCTAAGACCCACGTGGACGGCCAGGTACAGGCAGCTCTGAGTTTATTCACAGTGTTATTTACAGGGAGCCCCGCCCGCCCGGGTGCCAGGTCCCAGAGGGACCTGGAGCCGCTAGAAGGCCGTGAGGGCATCGGCGGCGGGGACGCTCCGCCGACCCCGTGGTGCCTCCTCTTCCAGCTCGCGGCGACCTTTGCCGATGGCCAGGCGGGGCAGGCCGCGGTTCAGGCCGTCCAGGAGCGCGCAGGCCTGGCAGAGCGCGCGGCTGGCCAGCGCCCCGCAGCGGGAGCAGGCGCCGGGGCGCGGGGGCCTCGCGGTCGGGGCCAGCGCCAGGCGCTCCGCAGAGTGCACCAGGTCCAGCACAGCCGACGGCCGCGCCGCCTCCAGGCGCTTGAGCAGGTCGCGAGCGTGGCCGCGGAAGGCCTCGGGCGCGTAGACGCACTCCTCGGAGAAGTAGTGCAGGCGGCGGAAGTGCGCGTACAGCACCACCTCCTTCTGCGACGCCAGCTGCAGTGGCCGGCAGCGCGGCAACGCGCCCCCCTCGCCCGGGGAGCCCAGCCCGCCGCCCCGGGCCAGCCGCCCCGCGTCGCCCCGCAGGAAGTTCATGAGCACCGTCTCTGCCATGTCGTCCGCGTTGTGACCTGCGGGGGAGAGCACAGGTGAGGGGGGCGGCAGAGCACACAGAGGGCCACAGAACCTTGGGAACCCGCGGGGAGGCAGGAACCAAGGAGAGGTAGGGCAGGCGGAGTGTTCACAGCAAGAAACACACACAAGCTTCCTGGAGCGAGGCTGGGAAGCCCGCGTTGGCCATCTCCTGCTGCACATCAGACCTGAGCCAGCTGCCCTTTCACATGGGGAGTCACATGGGGAGCTTCTGCGCTTTGCAGCAAAAGCCTTATTAGCCTTAGTTAAAAATAATCCAAAAACAATTCAAACAAGTCAAAGTGCCATTTAACGGAGATTCTCAGGGCACTGTTTGGTGGGCAGGCTCCCCTCGCCCCCACGCCCCAGGGGTCTCTGTGAACCTGTGCTTGTTTGGTGACAGGGCAAAGGGGAATTAAAGTTGCAGGATGAACTGGGGTGTTGATAACAGGCTTTGCGGAGGTAGAGTACCCTGGATTATCCAGGTGGGCTCCAAGTGATCACCAAGGTCCTTAAAGTGCAAGAGGGAGGCAGAAGAGCCAGAATAGCAGATGTGAAGACAGGAACAGGGTCAGAATGACACTCTGAGGACACGATCTGTCCTTGCTGGCTGTGAAGATGGAGCAAGGGCCGAAATCAGGGAACGAGTGGAACAGGCAGGAGGATGCAGTCTCCCCTGAAGCCCACAGTAGGAATGCACTTTGATAACGCCTTGGTTTTAGCCCAGGGAGACCCCTGTGGCCCTCTAACCTTCTGAATTGCAGGATAATAATTGTGTTTTGCCTGAGCCTCGGAATTTGTAATCATTTGTCACAGCAGCAACAGGAAACTAATAGTTTTTGACACAGTGCCTTTGGCAGTGTGATTGCAGTGTTTATCTTTGTTTAGAAACACCAGACAGAAATGTTTACATACCACTCACTATAAAATGGGAACTAAATCTGTGCCTATTCTGCATCTTGCCTAGTTATGTTTAAGATTTTATCAGTGGTTCTAAACCAGGGGTGATTCTGCACCCCACCCATCCCAGGAGCATTAGCAACACATCTAGTTGTCATGATTTGGGCTGGAGGAGTACTAGCATGTAGTGGACGGAAGTCGGGATGCTGTCATGATCCTGCAATGCACAGGACAGCTCCAAACAGCAGTTACCTGCCCCCAAGTGTCAACCGTGCTGAAGTGGAAAATCCCTGGTAGTCATGGTGAAACCCACCAAGACCTTTGCTCTAATTTGTTTGCAATAATAATTATTTTCCAAAGACCTGCCAAGACCCATGACCTTGACAGCAGTTGTCTTTGCTCCTGAAAACTACATCTGGCTATATATGTTCACTGTCTGCGAGTCTGTTGACTTAAAATTGGAAACCTCATTACTCACGGGAGGCTGGACTTGCTCCACATCTTGTCATTACAAACCCACTTAAGAGCTCAGTAATTACAATAATTATTATAAAATGCCTTTGAAAATAAAGTGTATAAACAAAAGGCAAGAAAAAAAATCACCTTACAAGTGAGGGATTTTTTTTTCTGGAAGCCTTCACATTTTTACAAGCACAATTAATGAGAGATTCTAATAAATTAATTTTAAGGCAACTTCTCATTCTTCCTTACACACCTGTCTTATGTAGAAAGGATTATTACTCTTCCCCTTTCCCGCTGAGAGCTAAGAGAGATCCAGGGACGCATTAGGGGATGAAGCTGACTGCCTTCCCCAGAGTGCATCTCTGGCATGGGGGGAGAAGAGAGATCCCTTCCTGTTTCCCATGGCCATCTTCTCTCAGTAGATGACTGAAGCTGCCTTCCTCCTACTGACCCCCTTGGCTGGCCGTGCCCCTTCCTTGCCAATCCAGGGTGAGCTCCTCTAAGCCACATCACTTCCTCTGGCTTCCTCACTGTCCAGAGGCCAGGGTCTGACTTTCCCCATCTCCATCTCCCCTCCCCTTGCTCTCTGGGCTTCAGGCACATTGGACTTCTTGGGAGAATCTCATATTGGCCTCCACAGGTGGTTTCCTCTGCCTGGAACAACATCCCCACACTCCCTGACTCCTTCACCTCTACCTGGAGCCTTCAGATCTCAAGAGACTTCCCTGACTCTCTCCCTCAGGTCCTAAGTCCCCTGCACACATGGGTCATGTAATCTCCTTCAGTGACTTTTATGATTATCTACTCCTATTAACTCATCTTGTTAAGCCAACCCATGAATTAGGTACCACTGATACTCCTGTCTTAGGGATGAGAAAACAAATACAGAGAGGTTAAGGAGTTTGCTGTGGCTACGATTTAGATCTGCTGTGTAGTACAAACTCAGCAGCTGTGCGTTGAAGGAGTGCATGAGAGAGGGACTGAAACAGTCGAGGAAGAGAGGAGAGGTCACAAAGAAAAGGCCTTAAGGGACGGAGATACTTTTCAAGGCAGTGAGGGATGGAGAAGTGGACCATGAGAGACCAAGAATGTTAGAAACAATTAAAAGTAAAGAGCCAGGTGCCGTGGCACATGCCTGTAATTCCAGTGGCTCTGGGAGGCTGAGACAGGAGGATCCCGAGGTTAAACCCAGTCTCAGCAAAAAGTGAGGTGCTGAACAACTCAGTGTAGACCCTGTCTCTAAATAAAATACAAAAAATAGGGCTGGGGATGTGGCTCGTGGTCCTGAGTTCAATTCCTGGTACCCCCTCCCCGCCAAAAAAGTAAAGAGCCAAAGATCTCATCTCCAGAAAGTAACTTCTACACCCACCCCTTTGCCAAGCTGTGTAGGCCAAGATGGTGGCTAAAACCCAAATATTTTTATACCCTGCCCCAAACCGGAGCATGCGCATAACATGTATCCTTACTTGGCTCCTCCCCTTAGGTCATGCGCAGGGTCTCCTTTCCTACTCCTTGGGCATGCGCCCTGGTTCCCTCCCAGTGCCTTCTCACACAGCCACACCACACCATTTGTTTAGCGCCTGCGCTCACCTGTCACGATGTGCGTGGCTCCCACAAGGCGTGCCCCTTCCTCCAGCGCTCGGCGACGCAGGACCCCGCAGAAGGTGCAGCAGGAGCGGCTGCGGCCAGAGCCAGCTGTACTGCGGGCCACCGCATCCATTGTCCAGCCCCCAAAGAGGTCTTCGTAGGCCACGACAGTGAGTGGCAGCTCCCAGCGCGCTGCCTGGTGCCTAACAGCTGCCAGCGCCGCATCCCGGTAGCCGCCGATGCCCTCATCCACGGCCACAAGGTGCAGTGAGATGTCCAGCTGGGGTGCCAGTGCGCGCAGGACATGCGCGAGCACGGTGGAGTCTTTGCCACCCGAGGCACCCACGGCCACCACAGCGCCGCGTGGTAGCAGGCGGCCAGCGAGCACCGTGTGCAGCACCTCGGCCTCGAAGGCATTGCAGAAGCATGTACCACACAGCGCCTGCCCTGAGCGCGGGCGCCGGAGGTTTGCCCGAGCCGTGTGGCAGGAGGCGCACGTTGGGGCGGGCATCGCGGAGTTGGCTTCTCCTGGAAGGGAGAGAGAAATGGGTTACGTGTGGAGTCTGGATGGTGGGGGGCTGCCTGGACAGCGTCCATGCTTGGGATGGACTAGGCACAGGTGCACACAGGAGGGAACTTCTTCCAGAGTTGGGGACAGGAGAGTTACACTTGAGTTCCTAGCTAAGGGAGACCACTGCCTCTGGAACTGCACTCAATATGCACCAAGAAGACCAAGGGGCCAAAGGAGGTGGTTTCAGGGGGAAAGAGAGAGATAGGTTATACTCAGAATTAGGTTGTGTCCCTTCTAGAGGGATGGGGTGCCTTTCAGGACCAGTTGCAGAGCCTCCCCTGTTACAGCCCTGATCAGAGGGGCCCGGTGGAGATCATCGACTGGCTGGCCCTCCAGGGCTGCTCAGAGTGCCTGAGAGGAGGTGCAGGACTCACAAGGACAGAAGGAGGTCAGGGCCTGCAGCTGTGTTGGAGGGAAGGTGGATAAACCTGAAAGACCAATTGGATTTCACTACTGGGGACGGGATACTGCCTCCAGGAATGGGTCCTGATCACTTCCTCTGAAAGGAAGAAGTCACCTCTAGAGACGGGCCGCAGCGATGGCACCTCTGTGGGGACCAGCTGGGGTTGCAGCTGTTTTAAGTGCACAAGCTTCTGTGGCCTCACAGAGAGATGGATCAGCCCATCCTAGGACCCTCTCTGTTCTCCCCTTTCCTGCATCATCCATCCCCACCCAGCCAAGACCCCAGCCCTCCAGTCACACTTCTCTTGACTGGAGAACCCCAAAATCTCAAGAGGCTCAGTCCCCTCACAAGCCACCCTGGTCTCCAGCTTGGACTACTCAGTAGCCTTCTCACCATTCAGAGGTCAGGCTGCTTCTAGGATGTATCAGAATGTTCAGAATTAGATTGTGATTGTATATTTACTCTCTGTACCATAAGGACAGGGACAAGTGCCACTGAGATACCAAGTAGGCATCTCAAACCCTAAATCCTGGATTCCTTTGAAATGAAAAGCAGCTTCTCCTGTAGTAAAGGGCAGCTCCACCCTTTCAGTTGCTCAGGACAGAATCTGAGATCTGCACTGCGCTTTCTCTCACCACTTCTTGTCACTCTCCCTGTTGGTGGCTCAAAGCGGTGAAGTCAAGTCCTGACCTTTTCTTCATATGCACCAGGGGCACATCCTTGGCCTACAAAACCAGATATCCAAACAAAATACGGCAAATCCTGCATGACTACAGTTTCAGGACAGAGTCAGAAGCCACATGCTTCTCACCATCTCCCCAGCTGGGACCTTGGCCTGGGCCATCTCTCTCCTGGACTCCCTTCCTCAACCTCTCCTCCTCTGCACACGCTGTTTTCCACATAATGTCTGGTGGAGACCTGCCCGGTACCTTCTCAGTGTCTTTCTGTGGATCTCATCTCACGCTAGCCAATGTTGATGGCCTATGAGACCCTACCCCATGTGGCTCCCTTTCTCTAACCTCACCTCCTCCCACTCTCCTTCAGCCACTCTGCCTCTACTCTCAAGGGTGTCAGGAACATGCCCCCCTCTGCCCAGAGTTCTTTTCCCTGTCACTGAACCCACTTAGCAGCCCTCAGGACTCGTGTTGTGACCATCAGGCAAGTGTCACAGCTGAAATCTTTTCTCCCCTGGTTGGACAATCTGGACTTGCTCCTCCTGCCAAGTTTCTTTTGGGGAGTCCTCTTCTTGTCCACAGGTCCTGCCCGCACACTTCCTCCCACTCTCCTTGTGAGGGGCTCTGAAAATGATTTAAATACCCAGATGTCTACCCACACTGGGCCTGCAAATGGCCTGTGAGGTTCCCCACTGGTGCACTTTTCAGACCCTCAGCCCCTAAGTGCCCCAAACCACCTGTTCTGTCCTCAGAGGGGTTCTCTGTCTCCTGAGAGCAGACATCTTCCAGCCTTTCTGTCACCCTGGACTCATCTCTCACCCTGTAAATCCACAGTCACCCAGTCCCGGTGGGGAGGGGTGTGCACATCCTGAGGGAGGGAGACCCTGGCAGGAGATGAGGCTGTGTGAGTTGGCAGAGCCTCATAAACCAGGATGTGGAGTTTTAGTTTTATTCAGGGATGCGATGTGACAGGTCTTAAAAGGTTTCCTTTGGCTGGTGCGAGGAAGAGTATAAGGGGCAGAGACAGAAACAGGAGGCCACTGAGAAGGCTGTGAGACATGACGGAGGACTGCCTGGGGCTGGGGCTCAGAAAATATCTGTGGGATGAGGGCACAGTAAGGGTGACCAGACAGGCCACAGAACCCAAGGATGCCTCCGAAATGCAGCCTGGTCAGAAGGGCGGGTAGTGTGCCATCCCGATCAGCACAGCTTCCAGGGCAGAGGAGGGGCCTTCGGTCGGACCCAGCTGGGGCAGAGGCAGGGGCAGGGGCAGGAAGAAAGCCTTATCCTGACAAGAGGGACGGGGCGGCCTGGCAGTCAGGCATTGGAAATCGCGGAGGCAAGTGTCACACCCAGAGAGAGACCCTGAACCCTCCCATGGCACCGCAACACGGAGGTGGGGCTGGCGTGCCTTGCCGCCGCGGGAGGAACTCTCACCAGTGCAGAACGCCACGTCTGGAAGTGCCGCGCGCCTACCACGCTAAGCCCGGTGCGGAAGTGGCTCCGAGACTACAACTCCCACAAGGCTATGGTATTGCGGAACTAGGACTCCCAGAATGCAACAGTCTGCCCAGGAGCCTGTGGCTCTGGTGCCGCTCTACTAACGTTTTCCACCAACCCTTGCAGTCCGGGCTTCCGCTCTGCCTAACATTCCCATAATGCACTGCTCGGCTTCTTCTGTGCGCCTGCGCGCGGGCGCAACGCAGTGGTCTGTGGTGTCGCTGCGACGGAAGGTTGTCTCCGTTGGATCCCCTTGAGGGGAAACAGCTTTGTCCTGATTTCTTGGTTTTGTACGACACTATAGGCTACAGGAATTATAGCACTTACGATTTGCACCCTTTAGGTGGGGTTGCGGGGAAGGAGTGAAGGGGGTGCAGAGGCTGGGGACTTGTACGGGGCAGAACGCGCATACGCGGGGCGGAGTCTCGGAGGACGGGGACAGAGTGGGCCTGTGCTGGGGCGGGGATAGTGGTGCGTGTGCACAGGTGAATGTGGAGAGAGAGTTGCGATGGTGGGTGCAATTGAGCCCCCCCCCCCCCCCCCCCAGCAGACCTTGCACAGTGAAACGACTATCCTCTGGACCTGGGGTGGAGCTCGAGGGTGGAGGACGGTGGGTGAGACAGGTCTTGATGGGATCCCAAGATGCTGGAGACCCAAAACTGAGGGGTCCAAAGGCTTCCCTGGCCCGCCTTTCTCGAATCTCCATCAGAACCTGAATCTTCCCTCAGAGTTCCCAGATGGATGAGTGTTTCTCCCTGTGAGGACCCTGGCAGGGCTCCCCAGTGCTATCACGATAAAGCCACCTTCCTCAGACTGTACTGGAGCCCTGCCCACCTCCACCTCATCATGCCTTGCTCTCTGTAGGGTCATTAAAACAAATGATGCCTGGTAGAGGGGACAGTGGTCTGGCCCGTCCCTGCCAGGTCTCCGTCATTCTGTGGCCCTGGGGACTTTGGTCCTTGCAGTGTCATCTACATTTCTGAAGGTGGCCTCTGCACTG